AAAAAAAATCCTGTTTTTTTTTTCCCCCCGGGGAAAAAAGAAAAGGAGAGGGGGGACCCCCCCCCCCCCCCCCCCCCCCCCTCCGCTGCCTGTTCGACCGGCACTTGCCGGTCGGATCGGATACTATTCACCCGGTGGCCCCAGGCGGGGGGGCTTCTTTAAGAAAGGGTGCCGGGCATCGTCCGCCGGACCTGCTGGTCGCAGATAGGGCACGTGGAGACGACGGGGCATCGGTCGCACATGACCAGGTGCCCGCAGGGTAGCAGCGCCCGGCTGCGGCGGCGGGTCGAGCAGATGACGCACTTGGCGAGGCTCTCGGCCTGCTCCCGTCTGGTCCTCTCCTCCTGGAGCGCGGTCCTCGCGGCCGTCTCGGCCTGCCGGCGGTCGGCCCTCTCCTCCGCGAGGGCGCGCTCCGCGCGCTTACGGTCCTCGACGGCGTCCATGAAGTAGGCTTTCTCCCTCTTGAGCGCGCGCAGCGCCATGCTGAAGGTTTCTCCCAGATAGCCCCGCCCGACGACCTGCTGCTGCTGGTTCTGGCGCCTCCCCCTCGCCTGCCTCGAAGAAGAAGCGGCCTCCCTGGAAAGCCGGGCCTCGACCTCGGCCCCCTCGCGCCTGTTCCTCTCCGCCCGCAGCGCGCTTTCCGCCGTCGCCGCGGCGGCGCTCAGGGCCAGCTCCCGCTGGTGGTTCCTGTCGCGCACGCCCCGGGCCGCGCTCAGCAGCTGCATGGGCGAGGACTGGAAAGGGGAGACGCCGCTGCTGCCGCCGCTGCTGCCTCCGCCACCGCCGCCGGTCGACCCGCCCCCCCCCGCCTCGGCGAGCAGCATGTCCACGCAGGCACGCAGGGTGTCGTTCTCTCCCCGCAGGGCCCGGTTCTGCCGCTGGGTCTCCTCGCGGATCATCCCCGCCCCGGCGACTACGTCCTGCGCGCCCGAGATCATGTCGTGCGCGCGCCTGCTTATGAGCTCCTGGAAGATGTCGCCGTGAGACCTCTGGGCGTGGACCGGGAGTCCCGCTGCACCGCGGCCGCCCGCGCTGGTGCTGCTGGTGCTGCTGTAGGAGTAGAGTTCCTCGACCGAGCCGTACTCGTCCAGCCTCCGCCTGCGCTCGGGGGGCGGCAGGTTCCCGTCCGGGTGGCTGAAGCGGCCCGACGTCGGCATCATCCTCTTGGTTGGTGCCTTACGAAGCGCACAAAAACAAAAGAAACGGCGACGACGATATGGATGGCGTAAGAAAAAAACAGCATCGGATACGACAGTAGTAGTAGAAGCGTCGAGGTTTATGTACTGCATGGGTTGAGGCGGAAAGCTCCCAAACAAACGGACATCTTACAAGCGCGTGCTTCCCGGGGATCGAACCCGGTCTGCTCTGTTGCTTACATACGGGATGGGATGAGGGGTTCCCATGGTAAAGTTTCGAGGCACATATGTACAAGTGTTGAGGATGTGAATGGGCACCTCCAGTGTAAAACGGAGAATTCTACGTCTAGTCAGCGCGAATAAATACGCACAAAGACGCGTGGTTTGCATTCGTGAGAATGTGAGTAAGCACTTCCAGCGTAAAACTGAGAATTCAACGGCTACATACATAATCAGGGCGCACGTCTGTGCATAGTTGACGACCCTGGAACACAAATACTGCAATCCGTTAGAGGGTCGGAATGGAAAGCAACTGGGGAAGAGCGAGCGCGTCGAGAAGTTGTGGCGCCAGCTAGATGAAGCGTGTAGCCGCTAAAAAAAAGCCGCTAGTGAGAGAGGGGCAACGGGCAACAGGCACGGGCTTTCTGTCGTGTTGCTGATGCCGCCGCTGCTGCTGCTGCTGTGCACATGGCAGGTGCAATGGGGCCCAGACCGTAGAGCAGCAAAGAATCGAGAAAATTCCTATTTTCGCCACAGGCGCAGAAACACCACCATCAAGGTAAACTCGACTAGGCGATGGATCTGCCGAGAGTATGGATGTGTTCGGGCACGCGACACGGCTTTACGTCTGGAAGACGAAATAAGAAACTCAAATCCATGAATAGGCACCATTACTGCTGTACGGTTAGGTGTGGTTCGTTTTGGATAAATTTCGACTTAGGGGACGCAGTATGCATAGCGTGTAGAGGCGAGCGGAGTGGCCTAGATACTGTATCTGTCGTTGACTTATTTTGACTTGCGGACGCTTCGGGTCCATTATTATTTTCGAATACCACCTTTTTCTGGGTAAGCTAGCCTTTGACCACGGGAATCGACCCCGTCAATGTCAGACTAGTGCGGACAGAAGAAGGTATTGGACAGAGAGAACGGAACGGATTTCATGTGAAGACAACAACAACAACAATGTGCCACTCTCCGCTATAGGGCAAATGCGAGAGGAAACTCCACACACGAGAAAATGCGATCTCGAAAAACAATCATTGCTGAGCTTTTCAGAATAAACAGCAGTCCATCACGTGCCGTCCCCGTCTCCTGCTCCTCAAAGAATATGCGGGCGTGCAAAATATTTCATGTGTCCACAACCGCGGTTTTCGTCAGTGACGCGCAGGGGGGATGCCAAAAAAGCAGGGTATTCGTCGGGAATTTTCCCGACGTGTTTTACCGCCCACGGTAGGCGGATCCGGTAATTGGCGGTATACCGCCGAAATTCGCGTTACCGCCTACCGCCGAAGGCGGTACCGCCGAACAAGAAGATACCGCCTACCGCCAAAAAACTACCGCCGTTTTCGCACCGCCTAAAAACTGCCGCCATTTTACGCGATACCGGATACCGCCAAAAAAGTACCGTGTTGTGTACCGCCAAAAAAACACCGCCATATTGGCTACCGCCAAAATAGTACCGCCATATTGGCTACCGCCCACAAAATACCGCCAAATTGGATACCGCCACAAAGGTACCGGCAAAAGGTCATTGTTGGTTAAACCGTTCAACAGGATGATCACCTGATGGGAAGAACTGGAGTTCAATTCTCGCCTATGTATTTTTATTTTTATTTCGATTCATCTGGAGTTCATTTTTTATTTTTTGTTCCTCTTCGGAAGAACCTCGATGTTGTGCACTGTGCACTGTCGCATGGACCACAGCAGCAGCAGTGTAGATGCACACACGCACCCACCGCGCAGCGCGTGTGATGCAACAGAACGATGAGCAATTTATCCGGGAGTGTTAGTGCTTCTTCTAATAGTGCGGAGGCTGCGAATGCTGGTGTTGCTGATTCGGGGAGCCTTCTTCTGGCAATTCGGTGATTGCCATCAACGATTCGGTGGTTGCTGAAGAAGAAGAGGAGGTGGTGTTGCAACCCCCACCACCCCAGCCTGAAGCCACGATTCCCTTTGCTGCTGTAGACTTATCTTAGCGTTTTTCCGTTTTTACGGCCCTTGGTTGGTCTGATGGTTGGTCTGATATTAAAAAAACAAATGATCAACATGCCTACACCATCCGGTGATTTGTGATTTTGTGTCTCAGCCTCTTATGCTTCTGTCGTCTTTCGTATTGCAGAAGGCTGGTAAATTTACTATACTTCGAGGTGTACAATTTACATGTAATCGCTTTGTCTACATACATTGCGTGCTTTGCATTTCTGGGGTGACATGGTGGGGAAGAACACAAGAATGTACTCCGGAGTTGTCAGAAAAGATATGCACCTAGTCTCGCCGGAAAACGACTAAACGGAACACCGCTGCTGTAACATAACTTGTGCCGGACAGACAATTGCGAACCGCCGGCGGCGTTCCCGACATTATTCGCGTTACCGGCAACCGCCGAAGGCGATACCGCCATGTTGCGTACCGCCGAAGGCGATACCGCCGAAAAAGCAGATACCGGCAACCGCCGAAGGCGGTACCGCCGAAAAACCAGATACCGCCTCCCGCCAAAAAACTACCGCCGTATTTAATACCGCCGAAACTGTTACAGCCGAAAAAAAACGCTACCGACGAATATCCTGCAAAAAAGCACGGCCGGCGTGCCGTGATCAAGACATTGGTTGTCAGAAAAATTACGCCAAATTGAAGACAGACGACACGTCACGTTCGAAACGATGCCTTGTTGGAAGAAGGGACGCGTTGACATGTCAACAATTACAGGTGAGGGGTAGGGATAACGATCATAACTGCTGGATACTGGGCTTGTTCTTAGTAGTTATTATAGTGTATTTGAAAGACTATTCGATTAACTGTTCGCGAATAGCCCGTTTGCTGTGGCGGTCCGCCCTTCCCCTGCGGAAGAAACAAGAAACAAATGGGAGAAAAAGGGGGGTGAGCTCCACCACGCCCAATTTCTTATTTCCCCCCCCACACCCCGGTGTTGTGACGCAAGAGACAAGGCAGCGGTGAGAGGGGGAGGCGTTGTCCTTTTCATCCTGAGTGCTTGCTCCCACACAACAGGCCTGCACTACAACTTCTTTAATTGTTGTTCATCACAGAATGTAAAAAAAAAAAAAGCAGCAGTAGGACCACACCTCGCAGTCTCGCAGTACTACAGCAGTAGATACAACGCGACGAGTGGAGCTGGCGACAATAATAGCGCGCAAACGTGGTCGTCACAACATCAAAACAACACAAAAAAAGCAAACCCCAGTATCTTTGACTAACGGTTCAAAGTGTCTACTCTCGAGTAAGCAATTTCAAATTTCAAGCGCCCTTTCAAAGGAACTCGCTCATTTGCACCTTAGACTATACAGCAATACCTTGCTGTGTCCTTCTTCTCCATCTCTCTCCCTCTCCATGGACGATAAATGTAAATACTATTCGCAATGTGCGCGCCACAGGCGCGATCAGAGAGAGGGGAGGATGGGAGACTACACGAGCGAGTTCTACGTTTTCGCCAGGGCATGGCGCGCTACTGCTGTGGTTGTAGGCTACATCGTTTGGGCAGTCGAGTCGTCACGGATGTGGGGGCCGGTAGTTGCATCTCGACTTTTTGAATGTGGCGCGCTGCTTGTTCATGCGATCATGTGTAGGTCGACGATCATTTCGAGCAAGTGTTTATTCTCGCGATCGACACAAGCAAAATCTGGATCTTTAGGGCATACCACAGGCCGGAGGGGCCGACACAGATAACGAGAGAGAGAGCCATTGGGTACAACACGCATGCATGTTAACAACTGAAAAGTGTCTCCGGTCATGACCTCACGCACTTGCCACAGCTGTGTGCCGCTGGCAGCGAGCTTATCCATCTGCAGGTGCTGCTGCTGCTGCTGCTGCTGCTGCTGCTGCTGCTGCAATACATACCATGCCCACCCCACGGGGCGAGGACACGAAAAAATGAAAATTCTGGTTTTTATCTGTGTGTGGTGGTTTCACACCCTGTGCCTGCAAACTTTTCTCTCCTCCCTCTCATCTCGGTTGTGCTCGCTCTGCTCGCGAGACTCGAGGGAGTAGGCAATCGCCCATTAGTCGGAGAGGCTTTCTCTCTCACTCCTCGTAGTTTGCAATCTTGCAAGGGGTGGAGGACAAGTCCTACGCTTGAGTGCAGCGAGTGCGGGTTTACATAGACCATCTCTCGGCAGAATAATCCTTCCTGCTCGAATTAGCCAGCAATTCCCGCGTTCCTACCTCCTGCCGCTTAGACGGCCCTACCACGCACCCGCACGCCCCAAGCACTCATACCCTCCTCCTTCTCTTCCCTGCCAAACCTAGCACGCACTCACTTAAATGGTGCGGTCTGCTGAAGTGTTGATCTCGCGTGGTTACATTCGGCAGGAGATACTGTAGATAGCGTGTGAGAAACGGGGGCTGGATTCAGCGGCATCTGTTTTTGAATGAGTGAATCTAAAGAAGCGGCGACGGCATATCTTTTCGGTTATGAGGGTGGGGGTGCGTGGGGGCTTCATCAGGACACCGAACTCACGCTGCTGTTGTGTGTGTTTGTTTGCCCAAAAGCTGTTGTAAGTTGTAAATGCAGACTATTTTTCTTTGGTGGAGATGAGCACGACAAAACTTAAGTCTAGCTATCAAATGTATCGAAACGAATATTGATTGCTGGCGATCTTTTAACTACGGCGGCACCGTTGTGTGAAGTACACTCCTTGCTAATAGGAGTAGAATTTCAGCACTATTCGCGATTGCATCGCTCCTACTGCTGCCCACTCGCCTATCGCCCTCTTCTCCAACCCACAAAGAGCCGACATTTCTCTCTCTCTCTCTCTCTCTCTCTCTCTCTCTCTCTCTCTCTCTCTCTATGTAATCCAAGGATGTGTCGGGGGGCGTCTCGCAAACAATTGGCACAACAAGCACTTTGCCTGCAATGCATTGGCGGGCAAAAAACAATCCGAACCCTAGTCTAACCGCCCCGCCCTTGCTTGTTCCAGCACACTTGCCGTGCTGGGCTGTTGACGCAGGCAGATGTGTGTGTGCATGGCGGCCAACCGCTTTTTTCGCGTGTCAAGAGCACCGGCTTTTTTTGATATTACATGTAGTTGGATCGGACCGAACTGAAAGAGGTAAATGCGAAGACACAACAACGAACAGAAGCTAAATAGCTGCTAAAAAATACTGACTGCAAGACTCCTCGTTGAAAATTGTAACTAACTTCCTCAACAAATGACATGCAACTCCGAATCAACACAACCACATACAAACCTACGTGCGCAACAGTGGACAATGTTGCGTGTTGCGAGCGCGCATGCTCAGCAAAAACCATCCTCAAGACGCCGATGTGCAGATATTACACCCTTTACTTCGGGTTCGGTGACGGTACTTTCTCCGAGCCTGACCGGAACATTTACAAAACGCGCGCTACCCTGGGCACAAGGGCTAACCCTACAACCCGTCATACTGGGGTCACCCAGCTATCCCTCCAGCGGGTCACACGACAGACGGTCCAGCTCAAGGCCTGGCAAAAGACGCACACGACGACAGGTGACCGACTACACGGCAACAGCTTCGGCAGCCCTTACAGGCGCTTCTGATCCCTACGCTATCAACATACAAGTGCTAGCTTTTCCACCCTGGTGGCGAGCGCCTTTCATATCGCTCAAGTACCTCGTAATAACATCTCCAAGATCGTATCACTCCTGCGGTCGGACTGCTCGGATTCTCGAGAACACCGCCCGCCGACCAACACTTTCCTACACAAAAAATTACTGCTGTAGCTTCACCCACACAAAAGGAGCCCTGACCTTCACCCTGCTCCCTCTGCCCGTTACAACGCCGCTGGAAACGGGACATGCTTTACGCCGCTACTTTGAAAGGCACCGCTGCTCCTCGACGGAACCGCCTGACCCCGTGTTAGGTGAAAACCCACCACGCCACAGCTGCGCCGCAGCGGCATGGTCAAGCTCAGGCGCCGCGTCTCTGTACATGGGCAAGACTCTAGGCCGCTGCTGTGCGGGGTGAGGGTCGGCCAGGGGGGTACATCGGTATGGCTTCGGGCAGTGCTACGTGCTACGTATGGTTTGTTCGTCCACTTACGGGGAGACACATCACCCCCCCCCCAAACACGCGCTCGGCAGGCTTTCTAAAGCGCCAGCTACACATCTAGCTTAAAAATATGGTAAAAGTATCGTACACGAAAGCGAAGACGCTGAGAGTTTGAACGAGAAAAAAAGGCTGGCGAACCCCACGTCACACGCGTACACATTCCCACCGCGGCGGGCGGCGCGTGAAATACACCAAAACACAAAGCGCCTCTCGGCACGCTTGACAAAGTAACCAGAACGTAGGTAGCACAGCAGGGTCTGCGGCAAAACACGTAGTTTTTAACACTTGCAGACTGACGCCAACAACGCACGGGGGCAATAAACCGTGGGGGAGGGGGGGGGATCATGACACCACGCAACACCCACCACCGGCTGCTGCCCTCGTACCCGAAACCGCAGCCCTGCCCTCTACTCCACCCGGTGGCCACCCCGCCTCTCCCTCCGGCCCGGCAAAGCTCGTCGCCGCGCTCTCGCTAGCATCGAGACCGTCATTGCCGTCGGAGTTCTTCACGCCGCCGACCCCCTCACCAGCAATGACTGCCTCCCCCCTGCTATTTCTGAGCCCGCTGCCGCCGCTCCTGTTGCTGGTCCCTCCCTGCCCAGGAACGACGGCAGAAACCGCCTGGACGGCCGCCGCCTTCCCCCCCCGACCCTCTTCACCTCTCCGCAGCAGCAACGTCGGTGTCTCTTCCTGCACTTCCGTCTCCGCTGGAGCTGGCTTCTCTTCTGCCGCTCGGTCGGTCAGTCTCACACCGCCCCCCTCGCCCGCACCGATGCTATCATCGTCATCGCTGGCCCCGTCGCCCTCGGCAATCACCACCTCCTTCATCCCTACTCCCGCCGCTTGCGAGGCCTTTGCTTCTTCGCCGCAAAGTTCGGCGCCCCGGCTGCTGGCGATTTCGTTGACGGTCGACCGCCGCACCCCCAGGCCGCCGCCCGCAACCTCGGCGGCACCGCCGCTGGACGCGAAGCCTTGCATCACGGCCGCGCTAGAGCTGAACCTTCGGGCAGCCAGGCCGCGCATCCCGACAGACGAAGGCGAAAGGAAATCGTCCGGGCCGACGAAGGGCTCCCCGAGCGGGGGGGCGCCGCCACCGAGCAATAGCCACCCGCTGCTGCTGCTAAATACTTCTCCAGGCGCGTCGCCGCCGCCGCCGCTGCCGCTGCTGTCCGCTGCTGCCGCTGCGCCGGGGGAACTCTCCGCCGGTACCGCGGTAGGCAACCCAAGGATCCGATCCAGATGACCGATGGCTGACGCCCCTCCCCATGAGGACCCCGACGCAAAGCGGCCGCTGCCCATGCGGCCGGTACCGGCGCCGCCCGGGTTCATGAAGGCCGCCGCCTCTTCGACCGACATGTGGTTTCTGGAGGAGCTCCGGCGCCCGTTCTTGTCGCCGCCGTCGTACTCGTCGCCGTCATTGCTTTCATCGTCCTCGCTTGAGTCAGGCCACGGTATGGCCCCCGTTCCGCTGCGCGAAGCGAACACCTCGGCGGTCACGCTGCCGCTCAAGATCGTTGCACCGGTCGGTTCTGCCGCCGCCGCCGCCACGTCCGACTCCGAACCGCCTGAACCATCCGAGAACACGGGGGGCAGAGGTGCGGCCACCGGAGGATCGGCATTAGCGCCGTCCACCGAAGCGCGTGTCGCCGAAGCCTCTCCTGCCCCTCCTTCTCCTAATGGTTGCGCTGCAACGTCATGAGAGCTACTCTCCGACGCTGCTGACGTGGCCGCCGCCGCCGCCGCCACCGCTGCTTCGGCGATTGGCGAGACCACACCCGCCTCAATTCCGCTTGGCTCGTCCACTACTTTAACAGGCGTCGCCGCCGCCGCAAGGACGGAGTCGGGCATGGCTGGCGGCTCCACTGAACCCGGCGCCGGCCCCACCGTCGATACCGCGTCGCCCCCGAAAACCGCCTGCACTCCAACCTTATCGGCACCGACCTGAGCTGCTTTGGTCATGACCAGGTCTTCGTCGGCCCTGGCGGTCTCCGAACGGGGCGCCGCTGATTCAGCGGCGGTTGTTTCTACACCCCCCTTCGCCTTTGGCCCTGCAACGGCTTCCAGCGCTGCCTCCGCTTCCGCCACGGCAGCCGCTGCTACTTCGGCTGACAAAAGCGAAAAGGTGAGGGGGGGGCGGAGGGCAGGGGATGGGGTTGGGTTACTGCTGTTGAGGGCATGCAGTCTCTATCTGGTCCCCAGGTCCTAGGACAGTGCAAGTCCATATACCCGCGGAATACGAAACAAGAGTACAAACCTAAGCATATGCCGAGCGAAAAGAACACGCGTCTCGGCATTTTTGAATGATGCGCGAATTACTCCAAAGGTCGAGGTATTGAGAAGAGTGCGAGCGGGCAACGGTGCTGGGTTGGAAGAAGGGCAAAAAGACGATTTACAGAGAGAGGAAGCATGCTGGAGATACGTGCCAGTGTACCGATGCCGGGCCATTCGAGATGTTTCTGCGGCGCTTCGTGGCAACTCCTCTTGTGTGTGCCACAGCAAAATATATCGCTTTGAAACAGCTTGGGGGGCCGTTGGTTGAGAGTGTTCTTGGGATGCTGCCGTAGAGGCTCGCAGCCAACGGGGCGGGTCGAGTTTTCACGCTCAGGAGGATTCAAAAACACCAAACCTTGTCGTGGGCACGCAAATTCATCCCCCAACACAAACCGCACACTAGAACCGCCAATACCGACAATTTCAGCGAGGAACAACAACAACAGCAGCAGCCGCCGCCGACACAAGAGCCACACACCACCACCAAGCGAGCGTTTCAAAAACAGCACCTACCTGCCGATGCCGCCTGTGCGGACGCCAAGAGAGCCGCCGCCCTCGCCGATGCCGCCGCCGCCTTTGCCGCTGTCGCCTTCTCTCTGCCGGTGTCACCACCGCCGGTTACGCTATTCAGCGGCGGCGGCGGCGGCCGCAGCAGCGGTGTCTGCGATGCCGCCCCCTCGGCCACCGCCGCTAACGCCGAATCTCGTACTACAACCTCTACGCCTTGCTCGGGGCATGCTGCCGTGTTGTTGTTGATGTCCGCCGACGTGGTGGGGCTCGCCGGAAGAGTCAACGTCGCCTCCTCGTTCCTCACCGATGCGAATGCCGGCGGCGGGGGGGGCTCCGAGCTACCCTCCAGGCTGCCCGGCTCTGCTGCGCGGAGCGCTGCGCCATCGTCCGTGGCGGCCACGCCGAAGGATTCTGAAGGTGATGCTGGCGGCATAGGTGATGCTGCTGATGCAGATGCTGCTGCTGATGCAGATGCTGCTGATGCTGCTAACGTTGGTGTTGCTGCTAATGCTGCTGTCGCTGCAGATGGTGCTGCCGCTGCAGATGCTGGTGTTGGTGTTGGTGTTGCTGCCAAAGTCTCCGTGGCCGCTTGGTCTACCCTCTCTACAACCGGGGTGGCGCCTTCCGACACGGGCTTTCCTACCGCCGCCAAAGCGGCGTCCTCCTCGGCGTTTCCGCCCAACCCCGCTTCCAAAACCGGCGTCGTCGTCAACGTTACCGCCCCCGCCGACTCCCCGTCGGTGGGAACACCATCGGTAGGCGCTCCGAACCGCACCTCCTCGATAGCACTCGGATCATGCTCGGGGCCTGTGTCGAAGGGCGGCGGCGCGTCCGTTACGCTGCATGCCGTCCCCGGTCGCTCTACGCTCTCCTCTTCCTGTCGTACTCTCGCTTCCCCGGCCATTTCCCGCGCTGTTTCCATGGCTGGTAGTGCCTCGACTCGCGGCGGAGTTTCTACTCCAGCTCCGGAGCTCGCGGCCACGCCCACAACCTTCGCTTCTTCTGGCAGGACTGCCTTGGTTGGATTCGGCGTCTCCCCCATCCCGTCCTCGTTGTCGTCTGCAAGCGCCGCCGATGCAGTCGGAGACGATGGCGGGGTCGAATCTGCCGCGCCCGGCCCGTCTCTTGCTTCAGAAGCCATGCGTCCGCCACCCTCATAGACCACAGCGCCATCTTCTTCTTCTCCTTCCGGAGGGCCAAGAGGGCCGCTTCCTTCTGCCCGCACCACACTGCTGTCGTGGTCATCGGCTATCCACGCGTCCATCTCGTCGACCATAGGGCTATCCAGGTCTTGCTGCGACACACCGGCAGCAGCCGTGGCCGCCTCTGAGCCGCCAGCAAGGGCTGCGGCGGGAGGAGAACCGTCCCGGTCTTGGGCCATAGCCACAGCTTCCGAGCCCGCCGCCAACCCGGGGAGAGAAATCGCGCTCTCTACGACAACAGGCGGAGCACCACAGGGCACAGCACCACTATCACTACCTTCACTATCACAGTCAGGCGCAACTAACTGGTCCGCGTCCGTATTCTCGCCCGCGCCGCCTAGGCTTCGCATGCCCTCTCCGGATGCGAAGTCGGCCGTCGTTGCCCCGCCGTTATTGCCCCCGCCCTCGGTGGACCCCGCAGCGGGTAGCGTCGGATCGCCGCCCCCGCTACCGCCCGCACCGCTCGCCGCGCCCTTTTCCCCGCCCCTTCCGCGTTTAGATCTGCCCTTTTTCTTCGAGCGCTTGGCCATGGGTGCAGTGTTCCACCAGCGGTGAACCGAAATCAGAACCCGAGCTTTCTTGCGATCTAGTGGCGGCGTCGCCCTGCTGTTGTTGCAACTGCTGCCGCCGCTGCTGCTGCTGCTGCTGCGAGTGCCCCAAATGACGCGGCCGTGCACCCTCGGGACGACGACGCGGGAAAGGGACAGGCGGTGATGCAGTGCAGGCAGCGCGCCCGCCTGATGGTCCACGCAAGGCACCCACGAGCCGGGGACGGAAAGGGGTGAGTTACGTGGGGTTGGACTGTGTACAAGTCGGAAAGAGTACACCTTCTTTCATCTTAGCGGTGAAAGGGCTTTCATCGCCAGCTAACACATGCAGGCCGTTTTCGTAGGTCTAGGAGGAAGTGGTGTAAATATGCCCACATGGAAGAAGAAAGCATTGCCAGAGCACGCGCGTTCTCCTAGCACCCGTGCACGCCAGGGGTTTTAATCGTTGAATCGTGCCGCCACTACATGGGTTTCTCCGCTATTCTTGGAGATGTAACCGCGGTTAGTAACGAGGGTATGTCAAACGTCCTTAAGACCGACTACATACATCGCTCCACTACCAGCAAGGTCTGCTGTTGCCGGTCGATCAAACGTGCTCGAAAAGCGCTAGATGAGAACGTCGTCTGCTTCGGCACTGTTTCTCCTGCGGAGCAGTCGAGCTTTGGAAACAAACGGTGGCCTTGTATTATTCACCGTCAAATACTGCTACAAGTATGCCTCAACCGATGACTGTAGGATATTGTGCAATTTTTATGGTGCTGATTGGCGATCTTCGATCGTGCATTGGCTACATTTTTCTTCACTTCGCGGAAGGGAGTGGGTGTGTGGGCTGGACATGCTTCTCTATTTGTCCTTCGTCCGACACATCGCTTGCTGCGAGGTCAGTCTTTCCGGTGCCATCCATATCTCTGCATTTGATACAGCAGTCTATGCAATTGCGTTTGACATCAGATTTCACTTATGCGTACCATGGTCATCAGATTTCACTTATGCGTACCATGGTCCATTTTATTTTCGTATATCTTTTTTGGTTAAGTTAGCCTGTGACCACGGGAATCGACCGCGTCAAAAGTGTTCGACTTGTACGGACAGAAGAAGGTACTGGGTAGAGAGAACGGAACGGTTTTTGATGTGAAAACAACAACAACAACAACAACGTACCATGCATACAACATGCTCGTGCGGGTATGCATACATATGCAAAATATGTACCTCTTGTGGGTGGTACTGACTGTAAGGCTTTGACTATGGAGCGCGTTGGCATCAGATGGAATAGCACGGATTACAGCACATGAGTGCTGAGCTAACGAGATCGGAACTACAGGTACTATAAACTTCGGGTAAGGTAGCATACCATCATGTGGAGATGTGGAGACAAGACAAACACGGCCTCGCAGTCTGTCGATACGAGCAGATATTGTGGACCAAGTCAGTCGAACGGCCTCTTTTTCCGAACTAAATGCGCGAGCCACACCACACTCCCTCGGACATCTTTTTCCTAACCAAATTACCGATCTCTTGTCAAGACCGAAGTTTCGCCTGTAATATGATAAAGTACTAACGGGTGAAAGCCGTTTTTGTTCCGGCTGGTATCACTGGTTTGTCAGGGCCAACAACAATATTGTACTCCTACAGTATTCGTTAGGAGTCTGCGGTATTCAGCAGGTGTCCCCCGTCAACCCTTTCCGTAAATAGTTCAACACGTCGCCGCCCAACCGACTTTTGCCTCCAGCGGGTGAGTCTCTCTTTGGGTGTTCGGCAATATTTCAACAGTGCTGCTTTGCAGCGTTCCCAGACTTGGCCTCTCCCACACATCATTGGACGACTTTCTCCGCAAACTTCTCCGCATTGATGATGACCGTTGCGCATGCCGGTAAACTCGGCTGATGGACAAACAAACTGGCAGGGAACAAGCGCTGAAGGAAGCAACGGCAGTCACCCAGGGGAAAATTCCAACAGCATCGGCTCTGATCATGTCGTGGTGTATTTTGTGCCGCTACAACAACAAGGGGGGGGCGGCCGCTGCTTGCTGTGATGTTCAACCGACCTCTTGAAAAGGAAAGTGCAGCAGCCGCACGTGTGTCGCACCGTCGCACCGGTTTCCGCCGCTTACCCCCGGTGTAAGAGTCCACCCCACCGCAGCCGGCTCCGGCTCGATGTGCTCCCTTCACGCCGCAGTGGACAAAGTGGGGGGCGCACGCTCCAGACGAGCCATGCACGGGAGAGCCGTCTGTCCTTCTCGCCGTTGTGTGGCGCTCAGCTCCGGCCTGGAAATTTGCACACGCGGAGACACCGGAACCGCGTAGCAGCAGCAGACAGCAGACCCACCACCCAACGCACAAGGATTCGTGTGAGACATGAGTGTCCGAAGTGGGGGACTTCTAGCCTCGTGTTCGAGCGTCACGCAGGCTTTAAAACTCAGCTGGGCTGCTGCTGGGGGGGGGGGCATGGCACCCAAGAAGCCAACAATATATGGCACCAACAACCAAACAGGATGTTCGCTTGTACGAAGGGGCCAGCAGCCACATTCAAAGGGCCAGCATGTAAAGTCGTTGACACACACAGACACCTCAACCCCCACATGCTAGATTCAATCTAGTGAGCTCGGGGCATGTTTATTCCGCTCCAATCTCTTATATCTCTTAAACTCTCACCAAAAAGCAAAACAGCAGACGCCCTGTGTGTTGTAGAAACCTGTGCGCCTGTGGGAACCGAGCCGTCTCAGGGAAGCAGAAGCCAGAAGCCAGAAGCGGCGAGTTGCAAAAAAAAAAAGTATAGCAAAAAAAAAAATCGCATCCATCCCCGAGTCGAGAGTCGAGTCTCCTACGTTTCGTAAGTTGCGAACCGGCATTTGCCCCTCCGCGTTCTTTCGCTCTCGTGCGTCGTGCGTCGTCGACATCCGTCATCTGTCGTATGCTTATGCATGTTCACAGAAATCATCACTCTCCCCTGTTGACTGGAGATCTCTCTGCTGGGGAGGCCGGAGTAGCGTGGAATCTCGGGCATCGTGCAAAATCAAACCACACGGTGCGTCGGAAATCTTCAGCACGCAATACATGTGAAGACAGAAGACAACAACACCAACAACAACATCTCTCCGCGCGCGCGTGCGTGTCTTTTTTTTTTTTTGGGCTTGACTTCAAAATCAGCGCTCACAGCACTAATGCCGTTTTACTACAACCCGTGGTCACACAGAAGAGCCTCCCCTCCTACGGTACTTTGCCTTCGATTTTTAATGCGAGAAGAGTTCAGCACTCTCTTCCCTCTGTGTACGCACGAACCAGCGCTATCCACTGAATAGGCCAGGAGGAGCGGAAGCGAGAGAAAAACTCACTTTGCACGAAAAGCTCGCTTACGCCGGGATTCGGACCCCTGACCTGACCTCTAGACGGTTTCGAGGACACCAACTAGACCACCGGGGTGACCGGCCTACAGCTCCCGTGTCTAGCCGGCAATAAATCTGAACACCAGACCGAATGCACCAGCATAGTTCTTCTTCCAGCATCACGCCCGGGGTAGACGGGGAGGTGGATGGATCTTATCTCCGCGTGCGCCAAGCAAAATCGTTCCAGCAAATCCAAGTACCAAAGGGTGTGGCGAGCACTGGTGTTATGCGCGGAAGAGGTCCTTGCGTCGGGGAGAGGAGCGACAATCGAGAAGGTACGTGAGAAACGTGTTTGGGTAGGAATCGTCTCTTGTTGTTGCCTCGTCGGCTAATCGCGCCGCGGGCTCTAATCGGCGGCGGTGCTGAACTGCACGTGCATTGAATCGAGTGTGTCCATGTACATGTAATGTCGCCGTAATATTACATACCAGAAACAGGCGTTTTGGCCACGTGTGTTCGTTCGCGGTTTGACGACGGGCTGGATGCCCTTCGACGGCAAGTTGATTAGTGTGCGCTGTGTCGTGACTGCCTGCACTCTTTTCATCCTGAGTGGTGATGGACTTTGAGGGAGACAACGTTGTGAACTGACAAGTACTATGGACGTATGATGCAGTCATGGCATGGAACGAATTTCCTTGGTAGACTATTTCACACAGGCACAGTATGCATACGCTATACAGAGGTGCTTTCGATATTCAGGCGCGAAGGATCGTCGTAAAGGCATACGCAAACATTTTACCGCTGGTACTGTAGCCTCAAGGAAAATCATCGTGCGAAGCAACTGGCCCTGAGGTGCAGGAACCCCCACGACATACTGTCCGTTTTTTTTTTTTGTCGTCCTCACGACATGGGTCAAACGCAGTCGGTCGCGGGAACATGCACTGCTACATAGATTGCAGAACTTCACACCGTGCGTCCTTGCTTGTCATGCAATGCTCATGCCCACACACGATGGTGGTGCTGTAGAATGGACGCTGTCTATGTACGACACCGAATATATTGCCGAGAACACTGCGTGGAGGGCCTCTTCGTGTGATCTTCGATACACTGGGCAAAGTTAGTCCCAAAGGAGACCCGATACAACCCCACAGGAGGCATTACGGGGCATGGAGGGACGTTTTTGTAGTGTTCAATAGTAGGATATGTCTCAGAAGGCGTCCGCTCGACACTGTGGAGGTGAACTCAAAAAATGTCTCATCTGCCCAACGGCCGTCGAGGACGTTCCGTAACTTCTTGATGGAGCAAATCCGAGTTCAAATCCCACCACGCCCACGTCAATGGTGGAACCACAAAGAAAATGGTGGAGAACAAACTAAAAAACATTTTCCAATGGACTTGTGGCACTTGAGCTGATGTGGTGGACGCAGAGCACCTGTGAAAACACGCACAGAAGTTTCTGAAGACGACCATCGACTTGCCGATAGCCGGTTGGCTTCCCGATACCCGTAAGAGCCTTCTCCTTGTCAACAAATAGAGAGAGAACCACCAAAGGTGCCTGCGTAGTATGACCATTAAGACAGGCCACATCCCGTCAACGTCCGTGAAGCGCGACCCCCTCTTTTCACAGCACTGCAAAGAAATGTTTCTCCTTAACCAAAGCCATCAAAGCTATATATCTATGCCGCATGAGATGGAAAGTGATGAATGAATTGTGCTTGAGCCCACCGGAGAAAAACAGATGAAAAGTTAGACGGTCGCGGCACTTGTCCACGTTTTCGTCGGACGCGAAGATTTTCTTCACCTTCTGATTGCGTTCTGCTTTATTTCTTTCCGTGGCGAACGACCACCCTTTCGCCCTTGGTCGGGTCCGTTCGACACCGACAAGCTCGGAACGGTGACATACATATCCAGGTCAGTTCGCGAAGGAACGTGGACGGGACACAGGCGGTGCGTCTTCGTGATGGACCCCAAGTGAGGCCACGGAAACGTGTTTGTGTGTGCTTTGTTGGCGTTTCCCAGGAGGGGCTGTATTAGGTTAGCTCCGCACTGCCGAGAATGGATATCTTGGCCTTGTGTCGTCCTCGTCACATGAGCTATAATGCTGGAATAAGTTGAGTGAGGAGTACGTCAACTTTTCCACCGGCTGCTGCAGTGCTTGCGGCCCATTCGGTGGTCTATCCCGGAGTCATTACAGGACTTCCAATCAAGGACGCTTGCGTATGGGCGAGTGTGCATCCTGCCTTTGAATCATGATTACGGAGGAAACTTCATAGCAGGAAAGTGTGCCAACCCCCTATTATTCGAGCATCACCACCGCGGTAGCTCCCTTAGCACCCTGCACGATAGTTGGTGCAAGCCGACTACATGAACCGCTGCCTTGCTCTCGACGTGTACAAAGCAGTCCTAATAACGAGTGCCTGATGCAGGTTTGCCCGAGCGTTCAGCGTAATCCAACGCGCGCCGCCGCAGCGCTCACTCCTGGCCCCGGCGGTGTCGATATCCTCGGCCCGGGTTGGGCATACGGCGGGGGTCGACCACGACTACACCCGCGTCGCTCTCGGTGAGCAACGATTGCTTGTTGTGATGTGCTGGCAGCTGCGAACCACCCCTCTTTGTGGTTGGCGTAGGCTGGACGAACAAGTAATCCTCTCGCTCCTTTCCTCTTTTTTTTTGCTGCCACCCGTCGGCGTAACTTCCGATTATTCGTCGCTCTACAGTACGCTCGGTCCGGAGTTTGTTTTTTCAAGGAATGCTTTCATCGAACAAGAAAGCCTATTGGGTCATATCCGGTGTCCAGAACATGCTTATTGTTTAAGCGAGGCTTTCGTCGCGAAGCTCATGTTCAATCAACCCTAAACCTCTCCGTTTCTCCATCTACTCGGACAGGCGCGATTGTGGACTGGATTGGCCGCAGGGTCTGTTCCGGATCAAATCTGTCCCTTCCGTTCGGTAGATTGGGGACGCTGGTGGGCAAAGAGCGGACTCTCAGCTTCGTCTTCGCGGATGGATTCCGACCCCCCAAAACGATGGCCGTACAGGTCAGACACTTGACTGTTTTTGCCTTGTCTCACAACGTTTTCCGGGGGAAGTAGTGCTCCAGCGTACATAAGCCACACTGCATGGGGTTCGATGCCCATCCCCAGCCCAAGAACGACAAGCACTGCCTCGATCCAAGGCTCAGGTAACATGATTTGTACCAAACTAGAGGACGGCGACGTGGAAGAAGTGCACTTTAACTGTTTTGAAATGCTTGTCCTCTTCACCGCTGCGTTCAACACTTGCAAAGCAGCCCGGAACATGCTGCGGAACAAAACTTGCTGATGATATCAACTCCTCTCCTGCCTCCCGCCCTGCGACTCTCCCTCAGGGCAAGTACGATCGCGATGTGCGACGGATTTTGGCCGCCATCGAAGCCAAGGCAAAGGCCGATCCACATGAACCGCCGGGTGGAGAGCACGCCAGTACCACAAGACCTGAGACCTCTCCATCTAGTGGATGTGGGGGCGCGAACAATAGAAGTGCTACCGAAAACGGCAGCCAAGAGCCCCACTCTTGGAGGAAAGCGAGAAACTCTTCGCAAAGCGGAAGCGCACGGAGCGGGATCGGTTCAGAACCGCTCCACCTCTCAACCCGATCGTCGGTTCTCTCGAGCTATAGAAGAAACAGTGATGGGGATAGCCGCGGTGCTGAACCAACGTCGGTCGATGTGGCGGATCCCGCTGCCGCCGGCGATGTGCGACGAGGCACCGCTTCCCTCCCACGACAGCGGGGCACGAGGAACTCCCAAGACTCGTTGTCCGAGGAGCCGGAAGCGCCCACGCCGAGGCCGATGATTACCGGCGCGGCTGCGGTAGTAGCGGGAGGACCCAGAACCAACCGTGAAACGGCGGAGACGGCGGAAGCGGCGGCGGCGGCAGCGAGAGTAGAGAACAGGGCCCAAGGGAATAAGGGGGATATTTCTCCCGGCACGGCGAAGAAGGTGCTTCCTCACTTTCTCGCCATCGGGAACCCGGGAAGCCAGGCCCTCGTAGCCAAAGAAGGAGCGGAGATCGTGCAGAGACAGGCAAGGGGATAAAAAACGAGAATAATCGGTTCCGGGGCGGGGTTTATGCCTGATATTTGTCCTTCAGTCATGTGATCCCGTCGGTATCGCTTGCTACAGGTTCGGGTACTTTGTTGTGTTCTGATGATCTCGGTGTCCTGTAGGGATATTTCACCGACCGAAGAGAGTAACATTGCGCTTCCAATGTAGGTGAACCATGCCCACCCTTCTCCCCTCCACCCAGTCCCATTGTGGTTGCTCCGGTCGCCCCGGTGGCCTAGTTGGTATCCTCGAAACCTTCTAGAGGTCAGGTCAGGGGGTTTGAATCCCGGCGTAAGCGATCTTTTCTTGCAAAGTGGGTTTTTCTCTCGCTTCCGCTCCTGGCATAGTGAATAGCGCTAGTTCGTGTGTACACAGAGGGAAGAGAGTGCTGAACTCTTCTCGCATTAAAAATCGTTGGGCATAGTGCCGCAGGAGGGGAGAGTAGAGAGGGGCACTTCTGTGTGACCACGGGTAGGAGTAAACGGCACTAGTGCAGTGAGCGCTGATTTGAAGTGAAGACAAAAAAAAACAAAAGTGAACGTTTTGTGTCAAGTAAGAGTAGTACGGGTAGAAATTTTCGTATCAGCCTTTGTATCCGAGAATCGTGTCTACATCGCGCCCTGGTCACTAGCGAACAGGTGAATTAACTCTCTTCGCTGTTCCCCTGCCCTATCCGGCCCCGACGGGTTTTGGGTCGGGTTTACCGATTGCGACCCTTCTTGGAATGATGGATGTGTCCGACACAGGCAAGAGACCGCTTCGCAAAGGTCAAGGCCGCCAACCTTCTCCTGGACCAGAAGGAGGTTGATGAGACTAAGAAGCGCCAGGCAAGAACCACCACAACGGGAGCGACTTAGCAAGAGGGGTACGGGTGTTGAGCTCTGCTAGAAAATGATCTTGATACACCCAGGTTGCGACAAAAAAGAGGCCAGCAAGAATCGAGTTTGAGGCGACACGAGGAGAGGCACACGATGTTGACCTGTATTTACAGCTGGTATCCAAACATCGCGTATGCCTTTCCACCTGGACAAAACCATATCTCGGCCCATGCAGATGTTCAACTTTGGACCGTAGAGCTTCGCGAATACAAGAAGCACGAACTGTTGGCCCGAGCAGGCAAGGGGAGGTTTCCTGGAGGAACGATGCTGTTTTTGGAGCAGGATGCTCGATACCGGAGCGACATCCCACCTAAATCCCTTAGACTGTCCTGGCAGTTTCAGCCTCGAAATACTAACAGCCTGGCACACGGCCGTTGGGTACGGACTGGCCGTGTGACACACGGTATCCTCAACAACAAAACAAGCGTGAAACTGGAAAAAAGGTACAAGGAGCAGCACCCGGGGTCGAGATGCCAGTCGTGTCTACCCGAAAATGCTCACATTGGGACAAGCCCAATGATAGTCGCCTTACCTGAGTTCTGTTGATTTTTCGTCACCAAACTCGGTGTAACCAACCGCGACAACGTGGTGGGCAGCAAGCCAAGTGGCAGGCCTACGAAGAGCGCCACACCGAGGAGAGGAAGCGGTTGAGGGACTACCTTACCGCGGTCAAGGCAAGTTGGCTTGGGGGTGACCGAAAACGATATAGTCTTAAGAAATCGGTTTTCGAGTGAATCTAATTGTACTGACAACCGTCCTTACGGCCTTGGGTCGCTTCAATTAGCCAGCGGTCACATCTACAGATGAAGAGTATGATATCATGGAAAGTGTTCGGCGTACGTGGAGTGCGATAGTGAACAATTTCTGGTTGGCAACGACTTCCTAAGCCCCGACCAATTCTGTTGCGCGCGCCAACTTCGTTTATCATGCAATACCAATCGTCATAAGGGTAATCTCGTCATCCGCCCAACACCGGTACGAAGCACCGGTGGCCCTGCCCATCGCGGAGCGTTCTTAGTATTTTCCCCTTTCTAGCACGCCGTGCTGATTCAATTCCACCGTCAGTAAACTTTGTGTGTATGTTCTGGACGTGCATCAGATACTACTTCATTTCACCCCACTTCATCTCATGGTCTATCACATGCTTTACATGTTTTGCTCGTGACGCACCTTCCCGTATCACGACAATGATACCACCTGAAAAAAAAAAACTTCCGAAGGTCTCTTAGAGGACCAGGACGGTTGCTTGAGGTAAGCTGCGTTGGCAATCTGTCACATTCCTTACCCCTTGTTCTCAACAGAACTACATATGCCGCTGCGTTCCTACCATTCACGCCGTATCGGACTCTATTCCCCGCTCGTTTTCACGTGTCCTTTACGAACGGGATTCGCACGGCGGCTTCAGGGGCAAGCCGAGGCGCAGAAAGCGGCAAGGGACGAGAAACGATCGCTGGAGTTTATGAAGGATAACCCAGACCCAGGACGTGCTTATCCATGCAGAGTCGAGTACGACATCGACAAGGAACAGGCATGGCGAACGGCTTGGTGCGCCGACCTAGAGAAGCAGGTGAAACATTATCAACAGTAGGGACTACGAGCTGACCTCACATTGTTCTACTACAGAGCAGTATTACAATACAACAACGGGTGAGAGGGTATCGGACAGAGGACGGTTTTCAATTTGAGGACAATAACATGCTCACTCGAAATAACTCGTTTTCAAAGAAGGTTGAGCTGGAGTAGCGAGCGATATACCTGTCGTTCGGTGCACATTGATCTTGGTAAAGCTGGAACGCGGCGACCATGTCTTCGAGAATTGTTTTTCGTATCCCGCGAATTGCGCTAGATATAACGGCGGCCGGCAGATCCGGAAATTCGGGTTCAAAGAAGGTGGTTATCCTCCTCTCCCACCTTTAAACCAGCCCAGAGTAGGACTTGAACTGAACCCTACTGCCAACGTTCGAGTGCGTAGTTTCACCTCTACGAGTGCTTCGAGCGAAACTCTGAGGCTGCTGTTCTCCGGACGACCTTCTGAACCGGGGGTGCGGCTGATACGGCGTGGTAGGTTGAGCTAAAGCAGCGGCTGGAGGGAGGCATCCGTAAGGCAGAGGCATCCCGGGACCGTGTGAGGGCTGCGCAGCTGGACGCCGCGATCAAAGCGGACAGACGTCGCGAATTGGAGGTTAAGCGCTTGGACAGGGAAAGGATCAACAAGTGAGGAGAAGGGTAGAGGGGTGAGATATGGTGCTTTGTAGTAGTGCCCGCATGTGTGCGTGTTTTGGTGGGCAGGTTTGTCGGCGACCAAAGTCGGAGAGGTCCAGCGAGGTGAGAGCCGTAAGGGCGAAAATAGGTGAGGGGGGGGGGGGTGTACTCATAGTCTTGCATGCCGTAGTCGTTAGACCATTGACCTCGCATCCCTACAAAGCCGGGACGAAGCACGCCGAGTTCTCACCGGACCAGGCCCTCACAACACCAAACGCGAAGCACCGCGAGGTATTCGACGAGTACGCTGCTTCCTGTTTAGGGTTTTCGGCATCTTGTGCTTACTTCCTTGCATACGAATGACAGCCGCGCACCAGGCTTACTTTTTTTCTGGTGCTTTCACTTCCAGGGACAGTTGTAAGCACTGTGTAACTGCCTCGAGTGTGCTTGACCATTTTACAAAGCGTGGTGCGATCATCCCCTTCGCGCGGAGTGAGGGTTCTCGACCCCGCACAACAGAACCCACTCGATCACTACATAGACTATATGGGAACCGCAAAAAACAACAACAGAGGAAACATATACAAGCAGTAATAACCTGGGTGCCGAGCTCACGAAGTGATCGGCATATTATTTCAACGACGTTGCCAGGCGACGAAAACCCAACCCCGATGGCAAACACCTTGGAGGGTAAATTTCGGTGAGGGCGGAGGGCGTCTAGCAAACAGTTGTGGAGAGTTACTCCACCTGAAAAGCGTACTGATGTGTTGCCATAGGTTGGCCTGCCCTCCTCGCGGAGGCTTTTGCTACGCCGATGAAACCGACAGGCCGCAATAGGTTCATGGCTTTTCCTCCCGTGTTCCAGAGACAATTAAGAACTTGTTTAGTGGCGGAATATGGTGCTCGCTCACGAACAAGCAACTACTTCTGCAGTGCCCCGAGCCGATATAGAGACCACAAAGACTATGAGCAGTCCCCCTCGTATTCCCCATATATCGACGTAACATAATCCATCCGTGGATATCGGATCACGGGTGTCAGACATTCCCATCGCCCATTGCTGCAACTATTAGTGTGGCAACGTTTCTTGATTTCGTGTTGATTTCAGCATTCAGACTAACTAGGGCAACACCTTGCCCTGCCCCGCCCCGCGTCTGTCGTTCCCCAACACCACACCACCGCCGCGTGGAACGTACAGAGATTGGGATACACAGGTCTCGTCGTTTGCTCATCCCGAGGGCGGCGGGAGGCGTGTGCAAAATATCATTCTGGACAAGATCGTGCGCTAGCGTTAGCAGTGCCGTATGTCCCCAACGGGGACACTTTGGGTTGCCTGTCCACTGTTTCTCTGTATGATAACGTGTACTCTGGGAGTTTTTGGAACTTTTTCATGACACGGGAAGGAGGTTCGTAAACCCTCAACACCAACTACTATACAACCTTTACTCCCAGGACACGGTTTCGAGATTCCCGTGCGGCGGGGAACAATGGTGTTGCCCCCGGGGCCAATCTAGAATATATATTATGACACAAAACCCTCTGCAGGGAGAGAAGGCAGGCAAAAGTGAGCGAACATCGATATGCACGGGCATCGCCGTCGTCAAAGACGGCATCCACCCGTCGGTGTTTAACACCCCACCAGCGGGTTCCGTCGGTCTCCCTTGAAGCAGGCTCAAGAGATACACCGTCCGTGATGTTCCGTAAGTGAACTTGTGTATCATCGTTTCGAAACAAAAACACGGTGTATATTGAATGCCGAACGACCCGCAGGACCAAGGTTCATGACTTTCTCTAGCTCCGATTCAGACTTTAAACTGTGTATCCCCGACAATAGTTGTCGTGGCTACAGTACGGGCCCGGAGATACGGAACGTCAAAATCGGGTCGAGGCTCAATCCCTTGTCTTGGGTCGAAGGACCAGCCGAAGGCGTCCATTTTCTTAATAGGCGTTTCTTATTCCTTTGGACTGTCGCATCCTCCTGAGTCTCTCATTTCTTTTTTTCTTATTTCTGGCTAAGAATACAACAACACATCAAAAACTCATGCAGCATTAACCAGAAAGCTCGGTGTGGCGAAAATTGCAGTACGGCAGCAGTGGGTAAAGCAGCCCGCGTATTGGACACGCTCCCGCGCAACCCTTGTTTCTTTTGTGTTGGGGATATCGCACCATCATGTTTCTTATTGGGACGTTTCTTGTGGCCGAGAAGCTGTGTTTCTTGGTCCTTTTTTCTGACTTTTTGTACAAAGTTGAGCCTTTGATATTTTGTAACGGAATTGTTCTAAATTGCGGGCCCGTACTGAATGACCTGTTGGTTCGAACCATAAAAACCACAATGATGACATCATCATGATTTTCAATCTGTGAGGGGGTTGCCCAGGTATTGCCGCATGCGGCGCATGCGGATGGGTTATTTCCGGGTACCCTACCCTTCTC